AGTCCCGGAGCCAAAACAGCGCATTACCTGTAAAAGGTTGCATGTGAGGTTGGGCGCTTTGACCGGAGCCTTTCTACTGGCTGCATGCTGCCAACCGTAATTAATGCATCGCATAGAAGCGGAATCGAGACGAAATGGCTTCGTAATAACTATCGTGGCCTTGTAAATCCAAACGGCCTAGCGTGGGCTCACGGGACCTCTAATCCCGGACGGAGGTAGTACGTAACTGGCTGCATACACGGGCATTACCTGTAAAAGGTTGCATGCGAGGTTGAGCGCTTTGACCGGAGCCTTTCTACTGGCTGCATGCTGCCAGCCGTAATTAATGCATCACATAGAAGGCGGAATCGAGGTGAAATGGCTTCGTAATAACTGTCGTGGCCTTGTAAATCCAAACGGCCTAGCGTGGGCTCACGGGACCTCTAATCTCGGATGGAGGTAGTACGTAACTGGCTGCATACACGGGCATTACCTGTAATAGGTTGCATGCGAGGTTGGGCGCTTTGACCGGAGCCTTTCTACTCGCTACATGCTGCCAGCCGTAATTAATGCATCGCATAGAAGCGGAATCGAGGCGAAATGGCTTCGCAATAACTGGCGCGGCCTTGTAAGACTGGTCATAGTGGGGAGTAACTTAGACTAGTGTCATGTATATGATACCAGTCTAAGTTACTACCTTCATAATGTAAAGTAATATAATAGTAATATCATAGATGGCTTCATTTGTTAGCTCATAGACCCATCTTGTCTTGGAAAGCGCTATGTTACAGTAACATATTGTGTTATCACCTCTCACTAATTACTTGCCATATAAGCAGAATTTTCTTGAAGTGCGCTATGTTACTAGCTAAGTTACTCCCACTATGACTAGCCTAAATCCAAACGGCCTAGCGTGGGCTCACCAGCCATTTGGCCTCGATTCCGCTTCTATGCGATGCATTAATTACGGCTGGCAGCATGCAACCAGTTGAAAGGCTCCAGTCAAAGCGCCCAACCTCGCATGTAACCTATTACAGATAATGCCCGTGAATGCAGCCAGTTACGTTGCATCAATTAATTAAGCTGGAGCATGCGCACACAGTTCATTACGAGTTGCGCCTTGGTCTTGCTGTTTTGGCTCCGGGGACTTCTAAAGCCGGACGGAGGTAGTATTTGACTTTGTAGATCTGCCGGAGCATCTCAATTAATGCATCTTCCCGTTAGTACAGATTTCCTATTTTCCAGATAGCATCTTTAATGGCAAGGCTGGTCATAGTGGGGAGTAACTTAGACTAGTAACATGCATATGTTACTAGTCTATGTTACTATCTCTATAGTGCAGTAGTATTATAGATTAGTATCATAGACGTTCTCATTTATTGCCATGCATGACACATAGTAGCATCATATTTATTATGTTACGGTATCTACCTATGTTACTATAATCATCTCTCTCTTTTTTAATTACCTGCCACATAAGCATATTTGCGAGTCCCAAGTATATGATACTACTTATGTTACCCCCACTATGGCCAGCCTTACTTTATGCTGGCCCCATGTTAACCCATGTGTCGAAGCTGCTGCTATGGTGCTACGCTCTAATTTTCATGTGTCGTAACCCCTTCGATGCTCAGCCATTTGTTTTTCTATGTGGTAAACTATACATGTAAATTTCATCCATCCCTAAAATTCAAAATGGTCAACCCTCTGCCTTGGTTAAACCATGTTTGACTGTAGATCTGCCAGAGCGTCTCAACCCATCTCCCTCCCCATAAGTAACACAGCTCGCTTGGTACTCCTGCCACCAAGATGTTCGATTGTGACACCTCACAGAGAACTTGAGGTAACGCTGGTGCGCTTGAGAAATTCACATTCTGATTGAGGTACGCACATCCTGCCTATGTTTTCTTTCAATGGAGTGAATTTTCTGGTCTTCTTCAGCCCCTTGGATTGTTTCAAACGAAAGTGTCACCTTTTTATACCGTTTTCACATGCTACGTTTTATCTAAGTGTGTCTATATTCTCTGATCTATACATTCAAGGGGACCGACTACTTTTCCCCTTAGGTTTTTCCGAGATCCCCACAGATAAAAGAACTATTATCCCTTAGGTACAATTTTTATTTCTTTTGTGAAGAAACCAGTAAAACCATGCCAAAGTGTAAATCATTAGGACTTTTTGGTGCAAAGATAAGTTTCTACTAACCCAAACCCGTGATTAATATATGAGATCCCTTTTTTTCCTTCAATGAATCAGTTCAAACTATTAATCAAAGCAGAGGTACAAACAACCCTGAGAACTAAAGATATTACATCCAAGTCCCTGGGATCTGACCATGTTCATCCTCCCTAATCGATGTTGCGCCGCTCCATGCAGCTCCAACATCAAGCTAGTATGTCATTGTTGATTGCGGACATGAAGTCATCAAGGCCCATCCTGCTGGAGTAGTCTCATGGAATAGAAGTCATCACAGTAGAAAAAATCATAGATCAAAGTGCCAAACCTTCATTGTTTCTCATAGGCCACACCCCCAGCACCGGAGCCCGAACCGACGTGGTGGAAATGAGGTAGAAGGACCAAACTGCAAAGGGCAGCCACCTTCTTCGTGACGCCAAAACCTGCAAATCATAACCTCACCAGCAAGAATAACTGGCAAAAAAAAAAATGCCATGAAGCCATCAGCGCTCCCGTAGACCGGTTTCACCACCAAAGCTACCACAGGTGAGTATTTTATTGTGTGCAACAGTCCGCACCACTTGAAGGGCCCAAGTGGCGGACATCGAAACATACGTAAAAGTTCCCAAAAATGGAAGCTAGGTAGATCAGGTCAGCCCTACACTCCCACAATGATAGAGCCGGCAGAGCAGGAAGGTGTTGCGACCTGGCATCAGGGAAGAGACCCTAGGTGCAGTGCAATCAGAGATCGTCTCTTTAGGTTTTAGAGCGAAACGACTTCGGAGAAATATCTATTTTTTCCCCCACAACCTTGACTATAAACAACAAATAATGACGGATGATCCCTATTCTCTGCCATTTGGTTCCACCACACTCACTCTATTATATAAGCATTGAGTGTCTATAATTTGTACCATGCGACTACTGTAAGTGTACATTATGTAGTTCATAGCTACTACCTCTGTAAAGTAATATAAGGCGTTCTAGATAAGTACTTTACTGATCTAGAATGTCTTATATTACTTTACAGAGGGACTACTTTGTCAACAATTCATATAACTCAGAAATTTTCAGTGCGGTAACTTTTGAGCTAGAAAATGGTCATCAGAAAACATACTCAAGTGAGTTCTAGTGTTAGTGGATTGGACCTAGAAATTTTCAGTGCGGTAAACTTTTGAGGCAGAAAAAAGTCCTCCAAAAACATACTAAGGTGAGATATAGCGTTAAACGTTGTGACCTACTTGTCTGGTAGAAAAAGTGATAAAAAAAAATACTCAAGTGCGATCTAGTGGCTAAGGATTGGACCTTATAACCCAGTCGAGATAAGTTTTCAAGTGGATAAGAACATGTGTAAGGATAACTCATATAGCACAGTATCCTAAGCTGAAAAAAGTCACTAAAACAGTCCAAACGACTTATAGTTTTCAGTATGATAGCTACACGTCAACAATTTGGTAACTCACATATTGCAGCTTCGTAACTTTTGGCCCCAAAAATAGACACCAGAAACTAACCATACGAGATGTAGTTTCGAAAATTTCGTCGACAAACTTAGTGATGGAAATAAATTTTAATTTTGGTATGTACTTTGAAAGGAAAATTATTGAATTTTCAAAATATTAAAGTATTTTGCTGACATGAGCTATTATGTCATTACATGCATGCATGTGTATGAGCCAATAGTCCGAGGCACGTGGGGTGGAGACATGCATACCAGTGTTGAAGTGTTATGTAGTTCGAAAATGCTGAATGGAGGACGACCTCCATGGAGGCAAAATTTGGAAAATAATAATATTAAAATTCATGATTTTTATGTTCCAAAAAATTCAGGAAAAATACAAATATAACTAGAGCCATAATGTACGTGTGTGTAAGTTTTCATGATGAAATACATCGAAACAAGGGTTGTACGAAAAAGATAAATCAGGGGCTTTTCAACACATGCACTGTTCATGCTAAAAGTCCATGCTTTGTCTTTTTACTGGTCATGATTGATAGTATTTCACCTGAAATTTTACACACATATACATATTACATCCTTATATGTGTGTATATTATTTCAGATTTTTTTCAAACTGAAAAGATTGAATTTTGAATTTCTCAAAATTAAAGCCTCCATGAAACTCGGTCACCAAAACGCCCTACTCTCAGTAGTTCCCCAAAAAACATAACAAGCTGTATAGTCCATCCAATTTCTGAAACAGGACTCAAAATTTTACGGGGCTGATTTTTCCTAATATTGTAACTTGTTCTCTCAAGTCTTAAGTGTGTAAAGTTTTCTTTTCAAAATAAATACAAAAAAGGCCCCGTACTAAAATTGTTTGCCATGTACAAAGTTACTTTATTATGTGGCATTTTGTGAAGTCTGGTTAAGTTCTATGGTCCTACAGATTTACTAATGTCACCATGATTGCACTGGTCACAAAATCGAAATGTATAAATCTACCATTAATTTCAATATGGAATTTCAGTTACG